TCTGCTGGTGCCTTGATCTTGGACTTCTCAGCCTTCACACTGTGAGAAATAAATTTCTGTTGTTTATAAGCCACTCAGTCTGTGGCATTCTTGTTATAGTACCCAAAACAGCCAGTATCCTTATAGTTTACAAACTGACAGTACCTCTTCCTCGATGTCCTACAGGTGCCATAAATTCAACCTGTTCAAAATGATTCATTATCATCACCTCTTTCTTCTTTATTCCCTCTTCATCCAAACCAGTGGCTCAAGCTAAAAACCTGGGGATAATTTTTCAACTCTCATTCCTATACCTAATCAAGTTCTGGAGATTCTACCTCCTATCTTTCAAACCTTCTCTCCTCTTCTCGTTATCCAGATCTTCATTATCTCCTGCCTGGACTCCTCCAATAATGGGTCTTCTCACTACAAGGACCTTCCCTCTCCAGCTCAAATAATGGTTTATCTTTCTGAAATGCAAATGGAGCATGTCATTCTCCTCCTTAAAAATCCTCCACCGAGAAGGTCCATGTGTTTTAATCATACAGACCTCTTTCTAGCTTCAGCTTTCAAAACTTCTCACTCTCCACCTATTCAATCTAGTCACAGTGAAATACTCAAGCATATTTTAAATGCACTGCACTTTTTCATACCTCTATGACTTTACCTTTGCCTAGGATGCTTTTCCTGCCCTCACTTTCCACCCCTCTTTATCAATAGCATTATAGAAACTAGAGCTTCTAACTTGAGCATGACTTTGTAATATTTCATTTATAAAATCCTAAAACTCCATGATTCCATATCTAATTACCACCCAATAAGTTAATTATTCATTGAACCCTTATTCCCCAACGACTGTTAGGCAGGGACTTTATCTTATTCATCTAACAATGTCAGGCCCACAATACACATACACGCTTAATATATTTTCTGAATGAATCAATTAGCGAATGAAGACTACCACACATTAGAAGTAACCTCCAGGAGGATGGGGCCATTGTTTCGCTCATTACTATATCCCTAGCAACTAGCTCTGACATATAATGGACACTAAATATTTTTTAAATTAATTATCTCATTAGCCCTCTTTCTTTGAGTTGCCTGGAGTGTTACTGAGGGTTAGGGAAGGGGAGAGAGGGGCAGGATTCTCAGGCTGGGAGAGGTCTGTCCAGTGGACGACTGGGAAGTGCTGGAAGTGACAGCCGAATTAAGTAGGGGTGCCAAAATCAGCGTTAACTCTGACGCAAATCATGGTAGGGACAACACATGGAAGGGACAAAACAAAAAATCTGTGGCGTGCCACACACAGATATGGGACTGGACAAAAAGGTATCAAATAGTAAAAGATACGAAAGAGACAAGGATGAAAGACTGAAGACAGCTGACAGGTTCTAAGGCTTAGGATACCTGAAGGTGGACCAATCTGCCTACACTTCGGGAGGCGATGAGTGGTGATGGGACGGGGGTTAAAAGAAAACTGAGTGGAAACAAGGAGTGTCACCGCAAAAGGACCTCAAGGGCGTGTGGCAGCACTCACCACCTCCCCCTGCTCCGCGGACTTGTACACTCCAGACACCATCTCGTTATGCAGAAGCAAAAACAACGCCTCGTCCGCCATTTCCTGCTTATTCTTCCAAGCTCCGGGTTTAGGCTCCCGTTTGGGCCGGACTCGGGGTTCCGGCTAGCGCCTGGGCAGCCTGGGCTGAGCCGCCGCCGTTCGCTCAGTCCGCAGCCCGTCCCTCGTTGCTAGGAGACCGAGGAATTCGCTCAGCTTCCCGAAGGCTTATACTGGAGGGAGCCGCGGCCCGCGGCGAGCCCAACCCAGGGCCACTAAGTCCTTGTGCAGAACGAAAGGGTCTGACAGCAGCGGGAACCAAACCCAGCCCCCGGAGACCCCATCCGGCCCTTGGGCGGGGGAGGCGAAAAAACAACTTCCGGTCCCCTCTACCCCGGCATTCCGCCAGCTCTATGGTCATAGAGTTCCTTCCGCGGGGTGAACCGCTGACGCCCAGAGAGGAGGAAGGTTTCTTCCCCCTACAACTTCGAAGGCGGCGGGCGGGGGAGGTGGTAAAATAAGACGGGACCTCCCGCTGCCATCTCTGTGTTAATTAGCTATGTTAGAACTGACAAGAATTTCTATTAGCTTCATCAAAAGCCTCCACTTCTGCCATATGCTGCTTAATATGAAAAGTTGTAAAAAAAAGCGAATATTGAGACTACCCTAGTAGTCAAGTAGGTAAGACTCCGCGCTCCCAATGGAGGGGTCCGGGGTACCATCCCTAGTTGGGAAACTAGATCCCCGCATGCATGCCGCAGCTAAGTCTGGATGCCGGAACTAAAGATCCCGCATGCAGAAACTAAGACCTGGTGCAGCCTAAATAAATAAATTTTAAGTGAACAAATCGTCATTTTTCAGGCTATATACTTTAGGTATATTGAGAGATTATCCCAATCCATTTCGGATTAAGCCTGGGTGTACAAAAAGATTTAGAGCCGTTTTGGCCAACAGGATTTTTACTGGGAGTAGGGTACAAGGGACAAGGAGGATGGAGTAAGCAAAGCACAAGGTAATTTGAATCAGAAAATACAAATTAAAGACTTCAGAAATGCGACGTCACTTTGGGACGGAGTTCATATAAGAATCTGTGGTGGATGTGGGACTTAACCCCTACAGACATGCGAATACATATGTTAGATCATATGCACGTCTTAAATTTGGCAAACTTTGTCTTAAACGTGATGCTTAGCCTATGATTAGATCTTTTCTTAGTAATTTACAAAACAGATATTTTTCCACAATTAATTCATTGCTTCCCCCGAAGTAATATGTCGAGTCTTCTCAAATTGTTAACAATAACCTCTCAACTCTTCATACCCTTTCATATCCCCTTCTAATGTTTGGATCCGTTTTTTCCATCACCTCATAAAATCAAGCATGTAAGTTTCACCTAACCCTTTGAAAAGAAACACTAATTTTGAAGAGTATTTTGCAATCTTAATATTTTTTTCCAGCACTAAAATTTCCCATATGTGAAAACAGGTCCTTTATGTCCCAACTGCATTCTCCCTCATCACCACCATCAAGGTCAAAGATTAAGCAAAAGACTGGCCACTTACCAAGGTCAATTTCTCAAACCACAGTAACATGGTGTTCTTTGTATATTCTGGAGACTACAGGGGAAACTAATATTTATTGAGCATTACTAAATGTTGAACATGGCATCCTACTGATTATCCCCCATAAATTAGACTACGTTAAATTTCCCAGGATCTTAGTAATAGAGTCTACGGAAGTAAGAATAGATCCTACGTTTTTGACTAACTCTAGAAGCATCTCCCATGGCAACATTGTTACACTTCGTGGTACCATTACCACATTCTCAGGTTTCATGTACTGCCTACTACACAGGATTGTAATAAGGATCAATGAGACAAAGTATGCTCACAATCAGAATCATGTAATTTTTTTTCCCACACCATGCTGCATGCAGGATTTTATTTCCCAGACCAGGGGTCGAACCAGAGCCCCCTGCAGTGGAAGCACGGAGTCTTAACCGCTGGACCACCAGGGAAGTCCCAGAGTCATATAATTATTTATCAACACTCATCCTTCTTATCCAGTTTTACTTTTTCTTTTTTTGTATAGCACTTAACCCATTTCTACCATGCTATGTAATTTACTTATGCTTATCGTCTGTCTCCTCACTCTTCCTGCCGCCAACCTCCTTGTGGGCAGATATCTTTACTGTACACTGACTATCCAAGTGCCTAGAATAGTGCCTGGCAAAAAGTAGGCGTTCCATAAATATTTGTTGAATGAATAAGTACATGATCTTTGCTCCCTGAGGGGCCTACAGACTCCATGGCAGCAGGAACCACAGTTATCTTGTTCTAGGCTTTTTTCCAGAGTCTAGCTTAACACAGTAAGAGCTTTTAAGGATTGTTGGATGAATTAAAATGGTAACTTGGATTAAATACAGTTGGCCTGCTAATGCTTGGTGCAAGGATGCCTGGCTGCAGATGGAGGATGAGAACACAAGGATTATTGATAATATTGTTTCTGTGGGAAAATGCTTTCTGAGCTACAATTTACAAATACATTTCTGGAACAAAACCGGTTCTCACGTTGGCAGTGCGGGTAGAGCAGAACCAGAAGGTGGACGACACACACACAGTTAACAGTAGCGCTGCTCCCCCAGACCCTATTTTAAACCAACCAGCTCTAGACCGGTGTAGAGGTTAATGCCCGTCTCGTCTGTCTCACCGTCGCTTTTTTAATTGTAGTAAAGCCTTGCACATAGTCTGATCGATCGTATGATGATTCTGGGCCGGCGTGACCTGGGGACAGTTACGGTATTTCCTTATCAGTAATAACAGGCAGTTTATTCACACTTTTGGTTTGTGGGGGGAGAAGGCACGTGAAGTGTTTCACAGAGTACAACACAAAGCAATTGTTAGCTATTATGATGAATGACTTTTCCTCTTCCTTCACTTTTCGCTTCCCTCTGCTCATTTGAGCTTAACCTAGTCAAGAGAATCCTGCGCCCCGCCCACTGCCTCTCTGGGCATGCGCACTAACAGGACGGCCGCACCCTGTCCTAATCAAATCATTTACCCGGGAAAAAGGGAAAAAAAGACTCGCCTGCACCCTACTCTGAGGGGAACAGGTGGTAAAACGATAAGAGGCCGTCACATACAGGTTAAAAGGGCTGCAAACTCCACTCTCCCCGCCAGAAGAGCCGGCTCGTGAACTCACATCTCCGAGAACCCAGAGACTATCAAATCCGCCCCAACTCTGCGCTAGAAGCGGAGCCCAGCCACCCGCAGCTAATCGGGGAGGGAAGCGACCGTCTGGAGGACTTTTCATTGGCCCAGAGGCACAAAGGCCGGCAGCTTCTCCCCCTTCCGGTTTCTGAGTGGTTGAGGCCGAAATACAACTCCTATCTCCATTGGCTGAGCCCAGCTGTCAGTCTTCTCGCGTCTCGCGGCGCGACACAAGCAGGCGTGGCCTGGAGAGCAGTCTCGGAGCCTGCTGCAGGGAGAAGATGGCGGTCGCAGTGAGAACTTTGCAGGAGCAGCTAGAAAAGGCCAAAGAGAGCTTAAAGAATGTGGATGAGAATATTCGCAAGCTCACCGGGCGGGATCCGAATGACGTGAGGTGAGGAGCGGATGGGAAATGCCGGTTCCGAGAGGCAGCCACGAAGCCGGGGTGAGTTGGGGCGGGGAGGGCGGCCAGTCCTGAGAGGACTCGAACATCGAGGCCTGTTCCCGGGGAAGCTGTGGAACCCCGTCCTCGGTGAGGTGGGAATTTCCAAGCCTCCCACCGTAAGTCCTGGAGCTCAGGTGCGTGAGGAAGGAGAGCGGGGCCTGGGTGCGCCAGGATGGCTTCCCGTCCTGCGGGAAGGCCCAGACTGCCGATTCCCGCCCTCGGCCCTGCAGGCCCGGAACTGCAGCACAAAGCCTTCCTTCTCCCGGGGCCACCCGATTCGGGGCTGGCCCGGAGACGCTCCCGGGACGCGGTCCGGCCGCCTGGCCCCCCGGCTCTTGCCCACGTGCAACTTCCTTTGGGTTGGCGAAATCCGGAGCTGATTCAAGCTTGTTAATGTGTAGTGGCATCGAGGTAAATATAATTTCTGTGATACTGGCCTTGGAAAAATCAGGAAGTTGACAAAGTGCTTAGTGTCGTCCTGTTTCAAACACGTGGGTTTTGAAACCATCATCTTCGAACTTTTCTGGTTATTTTCTTTTGATGATGAACCGCACCCGTTAAAGTATTTGGTGCTATTATAAACGATTTTGTTACTGATTTGTAAATATCTTGTAGGCCCATCCAAGCCAGATTGCTGGCCCTTTCTGGTCCTGGTGGAGGTAGAGGACGTGGTAGTTTATTGCTGAGGTAAGATTTCCTTAGGATTTTAATTCATTGGTACTTACTACACTAAAATAACGAAACGGTTTAAACAAATTTCGTGGTCGAGCAAATGTTAGAAATGTTTGGTTTGTTTGAAGCTGTGATCAGCTGTAGTTTTCTGTAGAGTTATCCTGGAATTTCATTTGCATTCAAAACTAGACATTGAAGAATATAGTAACTATACCAGTTATGTGCACACTTATTCTCATAGTTTTAAAAGAAATGCTACAAAAGCATCTTGAAGTAAATGCCGATTTAAGGTTACTTTAACTGGAAGTTGTTTTTTTTTAATTGCAACTAAATTATCTTCCTTAAATGGAAATACAATTTTTCTCAAATTTCAAGTGCTTTATGTTGGCCTTATTTTTGCAGGCGTGGATTCTCAGATATTGGAGGAGGACCCCCAGCCAAACAGAGAGACCTTGAAGGGGCAGTCAGTAGGTATGTTAGAGGACAAGTTTCTGAAGGCATAGTTGTATGTTCCATTTTCTGAGGTAGCATACAAATATAAAAATTTAATAAATATTGTTGAATTAAGTTGTATTAAAATTGAGTAGTATACCACTTACCCTGAGTCTGTTTCCTTGGTATTTGAACTGAGACAGCCAGTATCCCTCAAAACTCAGTTCTTCACTAACAGTAACAGAAATTTTACCAAAGTAAAGGTCATGAGAAAAATAATATTGAGAAAATAATTTGGGTTACTTTTCTGACTTGTACTACAAAAACTTAACCAGCTTGAGAGGTATAGGAGATCAGAGTTTGAATTGGTCCTTTAAAATTCATTTTAAAATTCATTTTCCTTTGTCAGGCTGGGCGGGGAGCGTCGGACTCGGAGAGAATCACGCCAAGAAAGCGACCCAGAGGACGATGATGTTAAGAAGGTAATTGAGATTAAAAGAACTTCATAGAGGGTGAATATAGTATTTTCACCTTAGTACATTTAAAGGAGTGCCACTGTATGCTAGTTAAATTACTGAAATTTCTTTTCTCCTGCAGCCAGCTTTGCAGTCTTCAGTTGTAGCTACCTCCAAAGAGCGCACACGGAGAGACCTTATCCAGGATCAAAATATGGATGAAAAGGGAAAGCAAAGGTATCTTAAGTATCTTTCTGGAGGAAAACAACTCTTGTCAAATAATGCAATTTTAAGAAAATTTAAGGAATTGTTCAAGTATCTATGCTATGCTTCTTTTAGGAAATGGCAGCCTTAAATGAAGTGGAACCTTTTGAAATTGGATTTTTTTTCTGTTCTTTAGGAATCGACGAATATTTGGCTTGTTGATGGGCACCCTTCAGAAATTTAAACAAGAATCCACTGTTGCTACCGAAAGGGTATTTATGCAATTTTTCCTTTGCTTCCTTTATTTAAGCTATCAAAGTAGTTGATTACATATTTCTTAAACACTGAAAAGTCCTCAAGATTTAACTGTAAGCTTCATAAAGCGCGTTACTGATATTTCCTAAGGAAAAAAAAAAGAGAGAAGAAAAAGATTTAATTGCTAGCCTAAAATGAAGCCAAGCAAAAACTTTAAAACTTTCTCAAGTTGTTATACTGTTGACTGGTTCTTTTTGAGGTGCTGTTAAAGTAACTTAGTGAACTTTGCTTTGTGGTTCAAAGAGCCTAGTCTGATTCAGGAGAACCTGGATTGTGGTTTCAGCTCTATAACAATCTCATTTTGTGGTCTTGGACATGTCTCTTCATTTCTTTAGGCCTTAGAGTGCTTTCTTTCAAACAGGAAGTTGAACTTACTAATCATTGTAATTTATTAAATAATTAGAATTTCTAAGACTTACATACTCAGAGGCACTCCAGAAGCAACAGCATAAATTATATTCCCTGCCCTCCAGAGTTTATTTAACTGTGTCATTTTTCTGGAAGTTTTTATTTTGCTAAAGCTACAAAATTGTGTCCTTGGAGTTGAACACAAACTTATTGCTTCTCGGGAGAACTATAGTGAAAGATAACAATTCAGTTATTTTATTTCAGCTTTCATATGTTAACTTTATTAGAAAATATAAAAACTTAAAGCATCAACGTTTGAAGAATGTAGATTTTTTTTTTTTTCGTAGATTTTTAAAAAGAGTTGACTAGTTTGTTAGTTACTTTGTTCACTAGGACATCACTCGTCTTAAATTCTTTGCTTTGGAAAGAGTAACTGAAGATAACCTATAAAGACAGTAATCTTTTTCAGGTTAACTTTTAGGTAAGGTTCTTTCATAAATTATGTTGGAATAAAACACTTACTGATATTATAGCTAATGGCTTTAAACTTTAGATTTATACATGAAAAGTCTTCAGTCCCCATTTCCTGGAAGGGAAATTGCAGTCCACCTCAAACGCCAAGTTTGAATTAGCTGGTGTCCTGAATTGCAAATGTGAAACATCTTTGTAGACAACAGTAAAATTGTGATATTTCACATAATCAGGATGTATAATAAGCTTTTAAAGATTATTGTTTATCTTTAGCAAAAGAGACGCCAGGAAATTGAACAGAAACTTGAAGTGCAGGCAGAAGAAGAAAGAAAGCAGGTTGAAAATGAGAGGAGAGAACTGTTTGAAGAGAGGCGTGCTAAACAGACAGAACTGCGGCTTTTGGAACAGAAGGTTGAGCTTGCGCAGCTGGTGAGTATATTTTGAAATTCTAAGATTGGTAATCCTTCATGTTGACAAAAGCGCTGACCTTTTTACCTTCTCTTTAGCAAGAAGAATGGAATGAGCATAATGCCAAGATAATTAAATATATAAGAACTAAAACAAAGCCCCATTTATTCTATATTCCTGGAAGAATGTGTCCAGCTACCCAAAAACTAATAGAAGAGTCACAGAGAAAAATGAATGGTAAGTATAAATGAAGAGGTCCCTTGAAATTTCCTTAATGGGTAAGGTAACACACAAATACATACATATTTGTTTCCTTTGACATCTGTGATTCAATAATTAACTTTTTAGAAAGATATTCTAAGATGCTAATGTGTTTGGAGTACAGGAGCATTTGTTTCATGATAGATATTAACTGGAAACTTGGATATTAGGTGGTGGTGCTTAATGCATGTTTATTTCTTAAGCATTTGAGTGAGCTTTCTCTTTTGCTTGATACTCTTAGTAGCCAGATACAAATGCTGATGAATCAAGAAAAAGTCAACATTGATGTCGTCCATAGAGGAAGCACACATGGAAGGGTAGACATTACTAAGATGGTGATTAGATGGTTTGTGTCTCCTTGGGATCAAAAAAATTAATGCATGATATGATACCATAAAACTGATTGTTTGAAAGAAGCTTTATTTTTTTTCATTTAGTATGAAGTAAAATAGCAAAAGATTATCCTGTTTTTCCATCAGTTAGATAACGTGGTGTGGTTTTGCTAATTTCTTAGTGTATAGGTTTCCAGTGGATCTTTGCTTTTGTCATCTTATATCAATTTGTAATTACATGCTGTAATCAGTCTTTTGTCATCTCTTTACAAAAAAGACATTGAGATAAGCTTAATGACAATTTGTGACCAGGTGTCAAATTGTGATTTTGAATTTTCTAAATCATAATATATTTTACACGTGTAAATTTTTATCCTTTAGCTTTATTTGAAGGTAGACGCATCGAATTTGCAGAACAAATAAATAAAATGGAGGCTAGGCCTAGAAGACAATCAATGAAGGAAAAAGAGCATCAAGTGGTGCGTAATGAAGAACAGAAGTCGGAACAAGAAGAGGGTAAGGTGGCTCAGCGAGAGGAAGAGTTGGAGGAGACAGGTAATCAGCACAATGATGTAGAAATAGAGGAAGCAGGAGAGGAAGAGGAAAAGGAAATAGGTGTAGTTCATAGTGATGCAGAGAAAGAACAGGAGGAGGAGGAACAGAAGCAGGAAATGGGAGTTAAGCTGGAGGAGGAAACTGAGGTAAGGGAAAGTGAGAAGCAGCAGGATAGTCAGCCTGAAGAAGTTATGGATGTGCTGGAGATGGTCGAGAGTGTCAAAAATGTAATCGCTGAGCAGGAGGTAATGGAAATCAACCAAGTTGAAAGCATAGAACCTTCAGAAAATGAAACTAGCAAAGAATTGGAGCCAGAGATGGAATTTGAAGTTGAGCCAGTTAAAGAATGTAAATCTCTTTCTCCTGCAAAAGAGAATGCTAGTGCTCTAGAAATGGAAAATGAGCCTGAGGAAAAGGAAGAAAAAGAATCTGAGTCCCAGCCTGAGCCTGTGGCTCAGCCTCAATCCCTGCCTCAGCCTCAGCCTCAGCCCCAGACCCAGACCCAGACCCAGACCCACTCCCACTCCCACTCCCATTCCCATTCCCCCTCCCCCTCCCACTCCCACCCCCCCCCCCCCTCCCACCCCCAACCCCAACCAGTACTCCACCCCCAGCCTCTCTCTCAGCCTGAGAGTTTGCCATTAGCTGTTTCACAGCCACCACCTCAGGTTATTCAGGAGCAAGGGCATTTACCACCTGAGAGGAAGGAGTTTCCTGTAGAATCTGTAAAACTCACTGAGGTGATAGTAGAACCAGTCTTGACAGTACATTCAGAGAGCAAGAGCAAAACCAAAACAAGGAGCAGAAGTAGAGGTCGAGCTAGAAATAAAACCAGCAAGAGTAGAAGTCGAAGCAGTAGCAGTAGTAGTTCTAGTAGCAGTTCAACCAGTAGCAGCAGTGGAAGCAGTTCCAGCAGTGGCAGTAGCAGTAGTCGAAGTAGTTCCAGTAGCAGCTCCAGTACAAGTGGCAGCAGCAGTAGAGACAGTAGCAGCAGCACTACTAGTAGTAGTGAGAGTAGAAGTCGGAGTAGGGGACGGGGACATAACAGGGACAGAAAGCACAGAAGGAGCGTGGATCGGAAGCGAAGGGATGCTTCAGGACTAGAAAGAAGTCACAAATCTTCAAAAGGAGGTAGTAGTAGAGATACAAAAGGATCAAAGGATAAGAATTCCCGGTCTGACAGAAAGAGGTCTATATCAGAGAGTAGTCGATCAGGCAAAAGATCTTCAAGAAGTGAAAGAGACCGAAAATCAGACAGGAAAGACAAAAGGCGTTAATGGAAGAAGCCAGGCTTTCTTAGCCTATTCTTTGCAGCAGAAGATTTCTTGATGAGTAAAAGGATTACCTTTCCTTGTAAGGAGAATGCTGCCTTAAGAATTGCATGTTGTAAAAATTTTTTTGGAAAATACAGACTGTTTGTTTACCAGACATTCTTGTACTTTTGCATAATTTTGTAAGAGTTATTTATCAAAATTATGTGAGGTTCCAAAATATGTAAAAACAATAATAATAAAAAAAAATTAACATCCCTTGTCATCTTTTTTAAATATCCTATACTCTTCAGTAAGAATCTGTATATTTTAATAGGTAAATCTTTAAGTCTGTTCCCTTCTGTATCATACATTGCTTTTGTAGAAATAAATGTGCATTTCTTTCATTAGTTTTGGGATGTCCTCGTTGACGCTTGTATAATAAGTATTCTCTTGATATCATTTTCAGCTTTTATCACTAGATATTGAACGTGATTAGAATGTTTTTGAAGGTTTCCTCACATTTATTTGCCTTAGACAATTATTTTGAGTTGTCAAAGTCAGATCTTTGCAGCTTTGTTGGGAACATAGTTTGTTCTCCTTAAAATCACTTACCATTTTTTTCTAATCTCCCTTGTTATTTTAATCTAAGCATTTCCCCGTTTCTCATACTTAAACCATATATTTGGTAGATAACTTAAAACAGTATGATTTGGTTGGAGTTTTCTTTACGATTATGGGAGCATCATTTTTTGTCTCCTTGGTTACTTGTGTGATATAGCATATACATCTGTTAGAGAAAAAAAGTCACTTTCTAGGGGAGAGAGGTAGAAAAGTATATTCTAAGCTTGGATTTTGAGTTTGTGGTCTTGTCTTAACTTTTGTGTTGGCCATAACTGAAACATGCCAATGTGTTTTCAAGAATTTTTGTTTTAGTAAGTATTGTATGAAAGTTTACAAAATGAAGGAAGTTCATCTACACTTGAATCTGTAAGCAAGATAACACGCAAGTGGTACCAAATGATTATTAACTTTGTTGTTTATAAATTTGTATGAATTTGGAGTATCTGTTGCCCATTACTATACATGTGCAAATAAATGTGGCTTAGACTTGTGTGACTGCTTAAGACTAGTACTTGTATTAACTTTTTGATGCTTTGTACAAGAGAGCACTTAAATTGCAAACGGCCTTTTTTGAGTTCATAATTTAATGTTGTGACTATAGCTTTAGGCTTGACTTTGAATATTCATTATGCCTTCCCTTGACAAGTAAACGGTAAGAGTAAAAATGTCAACATACGTTTTCAGCATTGTGTAAATGTAAGTGAACATGTTAAAAGAAATCTTTTTTAAAAATCCTTTCTTGGAGCAATTATTAAATAGTAAAGGAGTAGAAGTTCTCAGGCTGCAGAGCTAGCTAGCTACCTGCATCCCTGGGCCAGTTGTTTATATCAAGGGTCACTTCACCCAGGAATTTTAATACTTTACAGCATGCAGTAACATATTTTATTTTCCTGTGTGCAATTATGGGGAAAAGGTTGTTAAACACTTAAAAGGGATAACTGTAAAACCTGGTTCTTTTTTTAAAAAGTCCTTATTTGATGAATCTAAAATAATTGTATGTGTTAAGATCTTGTACAAAGTAAGTTTTGTTCATTTTTATCCAGAAAATTTCAACAGTTGTCATGATGCTTATACAAAAGATTATTTTGGGCTTATAATGCATGAAGAGAAAATAAGGGAAAGATCTTGGAATATGCAAAACAATTTTCAGTTATTTTAGTTAAGCTCTGCTGATGAAGTATATAGAAAAAATTCTAATTTCTTGAATTTTACTGACTTTAGTGGTATGTATTTATAAATTGGAAAGTTTCATTTTTAAAATTGAGTTTTGCTTTATCTTTGGAAATGATCCTTTGTTTTTTAATCTTTATTGGAGTATAATTGCTTCACAATACTGTTAGTTTCTGTTGCACAACAAAGCAAATCAGCCATATGCATACACATGTCCCCATATCCCCTCCCTCTTGAGCCTCCCTCCCATCCTCTCTGTCCCACCCCTCTAGGTCATCGCAAAGCACTGAGCCGATCTCCCTGTGCTATGCTGCTGCTTCCCACCAGCCAACGGAAATGATATTTTAAGGAATTTATGTTCAGAGAATCATGTAATTGGTTCCTTGCAAAGATACAAGGAGTGTTAGAATTTAAAAGTAATGAAACTTTCTTAGGAGAAAAAGACATACAGGGGTCCTGTTAGAAATTATTTTTATGGAAAATTTAGAAGCTGAATAGGGATACAGCTAGTGACTAAGGACTGAAATTAGTTTGGAGCTCTGTTAATTAGAGACATTTAAGGTGCTGCTTAGGAAACACTTCATTTGCTCTGAGATTCCAAGGTTGGTGTGGCCACAGAAATTAGAAAATAGTATGATCTTCAATGAGCTGTATCCAGGCTAGGGCTTTTCTATGCACTGTCTAGACCTCTGTTAACTATACACATGAATACTCTAGTAATTTGGGCCAAGCAAAACCCACTAAAGCAGCAATTGAATGCATTTGTAAACTAATGAGTTAACAAAGAAATGATTACATGGCATAGTAATGTGGGCCAATGCCCTCAGAATAACAAGTCACTAAAATGTTTTGGGGTTTAATTTCTTAACATGAATTTTTTAAAAATCTTTTTTGAAATCATTGAATAAAAGTCTTAACTAGTTCCCCTTGAGATACTGCTATAAAAGCACTTAGCCCAGAAAACCTGTAGCCTATTTACATGGTTGGACTTTCTTTCTCTAAGAAATAAGTGGGGAAGATTGCAGCTTGGCAAAAATAAACCTCAAGTATCTGAAAATTTCTTACACTATTCTTTTCTCACGTGGCATGATATTCAGATGCCTACAACTCTGCTTCCCATTGCCATTTCAGTACCCTATTTATAACACTTCCCCTCACTGTCCCCTTTCCTTGCTTTATTTGCTTTCATAGCACAGCATTATGTAGCTATATTGTACTTTTATTTATTGTGTACTTCCCACTAGAATTCAAGCTCCATGAGTGATTTTTTTTTAATCCCATTGCTGTAATTCAAATACCTAGGATAGGGCCTTGTGCGATATAGGCAATATCATGAATAAATTGTGATGGGCCATTAATGTGGTTTGTGTGATTTGATCTCTGATTGTCTTTCCAACTTAAGCTGCCTCTTCCATCACATCCAGATAATGCTTTGAAACAATGAACTGAGCCATTGGCTGGAGCCAAGGAGATGTGCCTGGAGCAGAGTAAGCAGAGAGAAAAGTACAGTAGTTAAGAGAGAATAGGCCCAGCTTGTACAGGGCCTTACAGGCAATTTTAAGTCCTTTAGCTTTTATTTATGGCAAGTCATTAGATGTTTTTTTTGTTTTTTGTTGTTTTAATTTTATTTATTTTTGGCTGCTGCGTGTGAGCTTTCTCTAGTTGTGAGCGGGGGCTAGTCGTCTTTGCGGTGCACGGGCTTCTCATTGCGGTGGCTTGTGTTATTGTGGAGCACGGGCTCTAGGTGCATGGGCTTCAGTAGTTGTTGCTCATGGGTTCTAGAGCGCAGGCTCAGTAGTTGTGCACAGGCTTAGTTGCTCCGTGGCATGCGGGATCCTCCTGGACCATGGATCAAACCCGTGTCCCCTGCATTGGCAGACAAACTCCTATCCACTCTTGCCACCAGAGAAGTCTCCATTAGAGGGTTTTGAACAGGGGAGTTAAATGATAGAATTTAACAGTACTACTCTGGGCTGTGCTGAGGAAAGACTAAATGGGACCAAGAGCAGGAACAAATAGTTAAGGAGCTATTGCAATAATTAGGCAAAATGTAGTAACTTAAGCCAGTGTGGTAGCAGTAGAAGTAGTTATCAGATTCTGGATATATTTTTAAGATAGTCCCCAAGGAATTTTCTGGTGGACTATGTTGTGTGAGAAGTCAGGGATGACTAAAGATTTTACCTGAGCAGCTAGAAGTGAATTGCCATTAGCTGAAATGGGAAAGACCAGGATAAACGAACAGGTTTGAGGATAGTGAAGGTGAGTGGGACAAGGGCTTAGTTTGAGATTCCCATTAGACATCCAAGTGAAGATGCGAAGTAGAAGAAGCTAGACATATCATTTGGTTTCAGGAGGCACTTTACTGGAAATGTAAATTTGAGAGTTCTAAGTGTATCAATGGTAAGATCATGAAGGAGTAAGTATAAAGAGTTGTAATGACAGCCCTGGGCACTTCTGCTTTTAAGAGGATGGGGAGCTGAAGAGGAACCAGCAAAAGAGCAGAAGCCAGAGAAATAAGGAAATAGAAGAGAGTGGTGTTTTTGAAGGGAAGGGAAGGAAGTGTTTCAAGGAGGAAGCAGTATAATGTGAAGTGATGCTGATGGGTTAATGAAAATGAAGAGTAAGAATCACTGAATTTAGCAACAGGCCATTAGTGACCTTCAGAAGAACAGTTTCATAAATAAGGTCCTACTCTATAGCACAGGGAACTATATTCAATGTCTTGTGATAAACTATAATGGAAAAGAATATGCAAATGTATATATACGTGTAACTGAATCACTTTGCTGAACAGCAAAAATTAACACAATGTTGTAAATCAACTGTACTTATAATTTAAAAAATTTTTAATTTATTTTTGGCTGCATTGGGTCTTCATTGCTGTGCGTGGGCTTTCTCTAGTTGTAGCGAGCAGGGGCTACACTTCATTGCGGTGTGGGGGCTTCTCATTGCAGTGGCTTCTTTTGTTGTGGAGCATGGGCTCTAGGTGTGCAGGGTTCAGTAGTTGTGGTGCACAGGCTCATTAGTTGTGGCCCATGGGCTTAGTTGCTCCGCGGCATGTGGGATCTTCCTGGACCAGGGATTGAACCCATGTCCCCTTCATTGGCAAGCGGATTCTTAACCACTGCACCACCAGGGAAGTCCCTAAATCAACTATACTTGAATAACATAATTTTTTTTTTAAAAAGCAGTTTCAGGAGAGTGATGGGGGTAAGATGATTGAAGGGAGTTGGAGATATATATCACTTCCAGTTGAGGTAGTTAAATTGGACCAGTCCTCCCACTGAGAACTAGAAAAGCTGGTGTGTGTGTGTGTGTGTGTGTGTGTGTGTGTGTGTGTGTGTGTGTAGAAGTATAGATATGAAAATCTGAAGCCTTCAGAAAACCATTAAGGTACTATAGAATTATAGGGCCAAAATCTGAGAAAGGAGGAAACCCAAACAGGTGCCTGGTGTTTGGGGTTATTTTTCCCCTAGATCCTGTTATGGAAGAGGCTGCCAAGATGCTGAAAACAGATCTTTGTACAGAATCAAGGTGCCTGGCAGACAAAATTTTGAGTTCAACAGCCATTAAAAAGGGGAGCT